CCGTGTGGCCGCCGGGGGGATGTCCTCGGGAAGCTGCCGGCCGAGTGTGCGCGTCTCGGCGCCTGGAGCTGCGGGCTCTCTGCAAGCCTGTCCTCCGATCGCCGTTTTCTCCCACCAGCCAGAACGGGAGCTCAACACATCGATTTAACCCAGTTAGTTAGAGGACAATTAGGTTCTAAAGTTGCCATCCGGGTCTGAGTCTTCTCCAGGGCACTCCTGGGCGGTGCTCTGAGCCTCAACAGCAGCAGGCAGTGATTTCTTCTCTAAGGCAGGAAGAACTTTCTTACCAGTCAGAACAGTCCAAAGTCCAAAATGTGAAGCACACCCGAGTTTGGTTCCTGGTCTCTCCCAGGTCGTCTTGCCAGGCCCGTCCCTGAGCCCTGGCCTCGTGGCAGAATTGAACGCAGCCCTCAGAGTTTCTGGAACCTTCTTTGTGCGGGACCGGAGCCCAGCACCGAGCAGGTGCCCACAAAGAGCAGCGGAAAGGCCTCCGTGTCTCCGGGGAGCCTGCGACTTCTCAGCTCGCTCTGATGCCACCAACTCAACCAAAGTTGAGACCGCCTGAACGTGCAGACACCTAGAATCTGAGAGCTGAAGGGAACTGTTTCTCCACCTCAGCTCGACATTTCAGGCTGGATTATTCGCTGTCGTGGGGGCTGTATTTGCATAGTAGGATGTTTAGAGGCATCCCTGGCTTCCATCCACTAGATGCCAGGAGCACCCTTCACCCAACTGTGACAACCAAAAGTGTCTCCAGACGCGGCCAAATTGGAGGGGAGGGGGGCAAGTTATCGAGCTGAGAACTTAGGGAATCCAGACAGGTGTACTAGTTTCCTGTTGCTGCTGTAACAGATTGCCACAAATTTAGTGTCCTAAAACTACATGGATTTATTACCATACAGTTCTGCAGGTCAGAATTTCAAAACATGTCTCTCTGGGCTAAAATCAAAGTGTCCGCTGGGCTGGCTCCTTCTGGAGGCTCTAGGGGAGAATACATTTCTGTGCCTCCTCCAGCTCCCAGAGGCCACCTGTGCTCCTTGGCTTGTGGCCCCTTCCTCCGTCTCCAAAGCCAGCAATGGCTGATTGAATCTTTCTCACGGTGTCTCACACTGACAATTCTCCTGTAATCAAATCTCTCTCTGCCTTCCTCATAGAAGGACTCATGTGATCACACTGGAGTCCACCCAGTAAATCCAGGATAATGTCCTCATCTCAAGATCCTTAACATATTCACATCTGCAAAGTCCCTTTTACCACGTAAGGTAACAACATACTCACAGCTTCTGAGGATTCAGATGTGGCCATCTCTGGGAGGCTGTTACGCATTCAGCCTGCCACAAGAAGATGCACGTGCAAATAGCTCCAGGACCAGACAACCAGTGCGGATGAGTCACAAGAACCAGTAAATGGTGGAGACACCTCCCCGCCCCCCCCAGGAAAGAGACAGCAACTTCTGGATCCTGTGTGGCCCAAACAATGCTCATCTGTAGACTGATGTGAACCCTCCAGCTTCCCAGTTTACAGACCCTGACTCACCAGACGCCAGGCTCTTCCCAGTCCTGGGACACAAGTCCACGTTACCCACCGACCCCCTAAGGGAGACGTTTCTAACAGTGAGATTTCACGTATGCATCGGGCCAGTGAAGGGTTTGTTCTCTAAGATTTCCTGGAACAAAATACCCAATGCTGGGATACTCTGAAAACCCTGAAAACCCTTAAAACCACTTCCTGAAAGAAAACTTGTTTGAGAGCCTGGTGCATAGCAGTGAGTGTCCATCACCACTGCCAGACCATGAGTCCAGAATGCAAATGACTATGGGTTCCTGGTGTTCTTCCTCCTTCACCCTGCCTGAGCCATTCATGAGTGTGGGGCAGAGCAGCTTTTAGGACAATGTGGCTCTTGCAGGGCATGGGCCTCTGGTTGCTGCCTGCAAAGGACATGGGATCCAAGGACAGCCTTCCTCTGAGTAATGACTTCTTTGTGGATTTTCTATATTCATTTTGGAATCAAACATCTTTCTCCCCAGTAACTCCCTTTAGATGGGATGAAAGGACATGTATTTAGAAAACACAATCATTGGTACTACAATACTAAAGGCTCAAGCAACTGAAAAGAAAATAGATTAGACTTTGTCAAAATTAAAAATGTGTATGTTTCAAATGACATCACGAAAGTGAAAAGACAACCCACAGAATGGGAGAAAATATTTGCAAATCCTATATCCAATAATGGATTAATATCCAGAATAGAATACGAATGGTTGATAAGAACATGAAAAGATGTCCAGCATCATTTGTCATTAGGGAAATGCAAGTCAACACCACAATGAGACACCCACTAGGATGGGTTTATCAAACAGATGGACAGTGACAGGTACTGGGTGGGATGGGGCATAAATTGGAAACCTCACACGTGGCTGGTGGGAATGTAATACGGTACCGCCATTTTGAAAAATAATTTATCGGTTCCTCAAAATGTTAAATATAGAGTTAACATATGACCCAAAAATTCCACTCCTGGGTATATACCCAAGAAAACTGAAAATATATGTACACACAAAAAACTTATGTATGTATATACTCATAACAGCATTACTGATAACTGCCAAACACTGGAATCAATCCAAAAGTACGTCAACTGATGAAAGCCTAAATAAAACGCTGTACATCCATCCTATGGAACACCATTCAGCAATAAAAAGGAAAGAAATACCGACGATACGTGCTGCAACATGGATGAGCCGCAGTATGCAGAGTGAAAGAAGCCAGCTGCAGGGACCCCTGTTGTATGATCCCACTTATGTGACACGTCCCGCAGAGGCAGAGCTGTGGAGGGACAATGCAATTAGTGGCTGCTGAGGGTGGGGGCGGGGGGTGAGGGGAAAGGGAGAGACTGCTAACGGGTACAGGGTTGCTTTCGGGGGTACTGATGGCGGTGGCGATTGCGCAACTCTGTAAATATACTAAAAATCACTGAATTATGGACTTTAAATGAGTGAACTTTATGGTTAGTAAATTACATCTCAATAGAAGTGTTAAAAAACAAGAGGCAGGAACAAAGACAAACTGAATAATAAACAAAAATGATTTAATAAAAACAACACGTGCAAACGCAAGCATTACGGACAGTGCCTAACCACACTGCACGGAAGGGGCCCCTGCACACAGCTCGGAGCCGACACAGACTACGCCATGCTGAGGAGGGCGTGCCCAGAGCTCCAGGGTATCTCCTAACTCTGTGAGGTCAGTTTATATGTCCTTAAAAGAAGCCCTCAGCACATCCGTTTTTCTTCCTTGAGAGGCCTCTTTTATTGAGTAACTTCGACAAACCCCTGAGACACTTTCTCGTGTAAACACAAGACACCAACCATTCCCCTCAAAGAGCACAATGTTCACAGCACATACGTCACGTGGTAAAGGCTACGTCTGACAAGGCACAGACAGCACCCTCTCGGCTGCAGACCTGACTTCTCAGCCCACGTGTAAGGGGCAAGGGGAGCTTTATAATATCTCTGCATGGAGTTCTAAACTCTATTTCTATTCGATTGAACCTTTCCCCTCTTTGTACTGGGAGTAAAAGAGATAAAAACTCCAGTCGAACATTCCAGAAGAAACCCCTACAGAGAGAACAGAGTTTCCTCGAAGCCAATAACCACACCTCACTTACATCCCCAGTGTCTGGCACAGAGCTTGTCCCTGAGAAAGCACGCTGAACGTTTGTTGTACAACAGGATGGATGGCTGGATAGATGGCTGGCTGGATAGGTGGATGGCTGGCTGGATGGATGGAGGATAGAAGGATAGATGAATA